CTCATTTTGGCTCTTGTCCCTCCTCTTAGCAGCTGCTGGTTTATTGTTCCCTTATTCTGGAGTAGAGCCGGTCAGACCAAAGAGGTTCTACCTCCAGCACAGTCACATTAATAATCATGAAGAACCTGGGGCTTCATTCTCTGGAATATACATTACATACATACCTTTGACTAAAGGTTAGTGAATGGGTCTGGAACCAGCTCCCAATTTGTAGTACATTTTCTGATACATATTGCTGTCCTTATTCTGTGTAGCAAGTTTGAGCTGATTCCGACTTCAATTTTTTGAGTTACGGCCATTTTAAGAAAACGGCAAAAAAACTGAAAAATACCCAAGGCTATAGTCCATGGTTTTTTCCAAAAAAATGGCTCCAAAATCACCCCAAATTTTTATTACATTTTCTGATACATATTGATGTCCTTATGCTGTGTAGCAAGTTTGAGCTGATTCCGACTTCAATTTTTTGAGTTACGGCCATTTTAAGAAAACGGCAAAAAAAACTGAAAAATACCCAAGGCTATAGTCCATGGTTTTTTCCAAAAAATGGCTGCGAAATCACCCCCAATTTTTATTACATTTTCTGATACATATTAATGTCCTTATTCTGTGTAGCAAGTTTGAGCTGATTCCGACTTCAATTTTTCAAGTTACGACCATTTTAAGAAAACGGCAAAATTAATTAATTAAATTATTATGATTATTATTTATTACAGGGAAATGGCTCCATTGTTGGATTATGTTCCTAAACTAAAAGAAGCTACAGAAGTTCAGTGCAAGGGAGTTTACTGTGGAATGCCATCATACTTTCCGATATCTCACATGCTAAAGTAACCACACCCTTCATTAATTATTATTATTATTATTATTATTATTAATTAGGAGGAATTGGTTCCTTCCAGTAGGACCTCCCCCTGGTGCCTCCTCTAAACTGGTTCTTGAAAGTGTCAAGAAAACCTCATCAAATTCAAGAAACTACACCTTTATTGGACGCTGTAAGAACATTATTAAACTTATTGAACCTTATACCTAATCTCTCTCTCCCCCCTCCCTCTCCCCCTATCCCTCTCCCCCTTTCTCTCCCTCTCTCTCTCCCTCTCCCCCAGTTCCTCCTAATGCTAGACTCCACCTTCAGCCATTACCAGGTTATTCTCTTCTCTCCTGGTCCCTTGAGTCATTCATTCCTCCAGTGACTCCTTATGGTGATGAGGGGTTAGGTTGCTATTGCATAATGTACACTAGGGGGAATGGAGTGGGTGAGACTAAACTGTGGATTGAAGTGAAGGTAAGAAGAGAAACAGTAAAGTGTGTGTACAGCAACTAATGGAGTATCAACAATCAACTCTAATCAAATCAACTGATGTATATGTACAGGCAGTGTTGATACGATAATAGTTAATGATTGATAAACACTACATTAATGGGAATTTTTGAGGAGGGAAATTTTGATAAATTTATTGTTTTGATAGCCACTTGTCTGCCATATTGCAGTCTATGGCTACAAATTTGACAAATTAAAACCTACCAATCACCAAAAATTAGGAATTTGCCCGATTTTACCTCCTACAAAAGACCAGTTAATATACAGTTTATCAATTTTTCATTATTATTAATAATTATTGTTTCTCTTGTTAGGGTGATATTGATGTGAGTCCAGTGCTGGAAGTATCCCTAATATCAGTGTATATTAACCCTCCTTTATCAACCAGTGATGAGTTACAGCAGTTATTATCATTATTACCATCATGGGTATCTACTATCAGCTGGACTTCAGTAATGGACAATATGACATTCTGATATACTGTTAATATACTGATAATATACTGATATACTCTCCGCTTATAGTGATTCCTATATATTTGTATTTTCATATTATTGAAGTATTAGAATTTAGACGGTGAAACAACTTCTGTTGAGTATAAGCTTGTTTGTTATTAATACATTTTTGTAAAATAACATTGTGAATTTAGATAACTACAGAAGTGGCATCAGCAATTTTTTGACTTAAAGTTACACAAAGTTAAAGAGTTGTATCTGGTCCCTTCTCCCCTCCAACAGTTGGATTATTTAAACCTGCATTTATAGCAGTAGCCTTTCCTTTTACTATATAAAAGATAACTGATATCAAAGTTATTAAAACATGTTGTAGTTGATACCTCCAGCATCATAAGTACAGCAATCATAGCAGAAGAAAAGCAACCAAAAGCTACTCCTCCAAATCCTGGGACAGCACCACTGTCTCTTCCAACATATCCTCAGCAATATCCAACAAACAGACAATATTATTAATACTCCAAGAACAGTGGGTGAGGCAGCAATTGCAAGGGGATCTATGATTGATTATTCAGTGACAATAAATGTTATCCTTCATTACCTATAGAGGCACTGAGTTCCATCGTTGTATTGACTTGTGTTGTTGTATTCTTCACTTGGTTACTCAACCCTATCAAAGAAGGTTAATATTTACTCTATATATGAACATGTTAGCTTACCACCATTCATATTAACTGTACCAGCAGCATTAGTAACAGTTATATTGTAAGAGTGCTTAGCTCCTGATGTTATGCTAAAGATAATGATATTATTCATGACACATGATTTCAAGACATCATCAAAAGCAATGCTACAGTTAGTAACTGGAGGTCGTCCATCATCATTGTTCTAATTTAAACATAAATGAGCTTAAAAACTTCATAAAAGCAAGTATTGGTTATACACATCACTTTCTTTTACCTTAATCGTAAAGTTGGCAATATTGTTGTTAACATTTGTATCAATAGATACTTTGGGCTCTAAAGAAAATAAACTTAATTACTGATCATACTGTTTCATTTACCTTTCCAAGGAATGGATGTACTATTCATAGAGCCAATATCATTTCCAGGATAATTGACACTGGTTAATTGAAACCTGTAGTCACCAGAAGTCACTGGAATAAAATCATAATGTGTTGTTCCAGTAACATTCTTCACATCAACTTCATAAACTGATGAGAGATGGGCTGAGAGTCTAAGTGATGATAAACAAGTGGCTCCACTCCAAGAGACCCTGATACCATCATCATAAAACACAGGTGTGCTTAGATTACCAGCTTCTGGATCTAAAACAAAAGTATTGTACATTA